GGGTCCGCGTGAATTTACCAGCCGGCAGCCGGAGTGCAGGGCAGCTCTCTTGCTCAAAGGCACATTCTGATCAGGTTTGCGGGGGTGATGGGTGAGGTAGGTCCCTCCCTCCATCCTCCCAAGGCTGAATTTACCGGAGAAGATGTGCCCCCTTGGAACTGCGCTTATCAGCTGACTGGCTTCAAAACCCGGTCCGGGCAGAGCAGCCATCCTCCTCTTAGGCCCTAAGATTCTGTTCTTATAGAACTGTAATTGTGTCGTGTATCGTAAGTTATGTTTCCCGTGGTTTCCACTTTTTTTTTTTCCCCCTAATCACATTTTCCCCAAGCTTAAGCAGATCGCTTTATTTTGGGTCACTGGGTACTGCACTAAAGCATCTGAATGAAATTCCTGGCAAAATACAGTCATTAGAAGTCCAGTGAAAGCAGATCCAAAGTGTCCAAGTGTCCCACAACACTAAAAGGCTGTCTGGTTAATTTCCAAATTCTATTTGGGCTCAACACTACAACAGTTTCTTTTTCATACAGAGAGAGAAAAATAGGGCTAAAAATCAATACAATAACCATGGGAGACTTGGAAGGGAATTACAAATTAAACCGTACCCTTGCAGGCAAATTATTTTAATGTCTCTTAAGAATTGAATACACTGTATGAAACTGAAAGCAAACAAAGGAAGAAAAAGCAACGTGCAGAAAATTAATTAAGAAGGGGGAAGACAAAAAATGTTGCATGTCATATAATTACAAATAGAAAAGCAACAAATTAATAAGCACACACAATTACAGATCTCAGTAACATCAGTAACCAGAACCACCCCAAAGAATTACTGAACCATCAGATGTCCTACTAATTTTGAAGGGCGGTCGGTGCCTGATGATGAACTTCAGTCATTCCAAGAGACGGGAGTCTTCCCTCCCACTGCAAGCCGGCCTGTTAAGATGGCTTCAGGTAGCTCTGAAAAGACGTTCCTTTTCTCAAAGAGAACCAGTGTGGAAGAGTTTATCCCCTCCGTTCCTCCACCACCAAAAGCCATACATTCCTTCGACTTTTTCAACTAAGGCAAGCAAAGGAGAATGTCTTGAGACTTCAAAACACCTTCAGAAGCCACACATCCTATCTGGGTAAAAAGCAAAGAAACAAATGATTTCCACAGCCAAGGACAACAATTCTGCTGACTGCAAGGACAGTTCTTGCACCTCATGTGAAGAGTCCCTGAAGAGGAGACATGGCAGGAAGTAGACCAGGCCCCCAGGCACCATCCAGGGTGAGAAAGGACCCGTATGAGAAAAGTGATACATGGATCAGTCCTCAGATGTCTCTTCAACTCCGCACACCACTGAGGTAGGAGCTTAAGAAATACAGAGCTTGGGAAGGGCGTCCAAGTGCCCACTTGCTCTGTTGTGGGCCTAAGACAGTCACTGACAGGCCTCAAGTGACCTTACAAAATTCCATAGTTGTATCAGGTCACTGCCACAGAGGGCAAGGTCCAAGACAGGGCCACATGGGTGAGATCCTGCCACTGACCACAGGGAATCTGTTGTCAAGGACAGAACCAAGGGGGTAGGGGAGGGGATGAGGTGGGAAACCCCAGCAGGCAATCTACAAAACAATTACTAGTAAATTTTATCAAAAAGTATAAAAACATTTCAAAAAACTTTAAAAACTGCCAGGCTTGGCAGATGCACGGGTCAGGATCGCCAAGTACCCTTGGAGCTGCCTGACATGACGCTACAGGGGTTTTTCTTGCCCCTGCCCTACCCATCCCTCTGAATGGCCAGACCAGGGCTGTGGCTGCCCCTCCAGGTTTGGTACAGTGGTTTGAGGTTCTAACTCAAGCTCAGGGAGCCACAAGGCCAGAGATGCTGCTTGGGCTTGTGTAGCCGAGCTCCATGCCATGGAGGACTGGGGTGCAGGTGGGGGTTTTCCCACATTGCTGCAAATCACCAAAAGGTCACTCTGGGCCTTGGGGCTAGGGTACTATGAACCACAGGGCTCAGGCACCTTAAGTCCCCAAGCGTGCCCCTTCGGCATTTGGGCTCCCTACCAAAACTGAGTACCTCTTAGCATTGGTTTCTGGGATCTCTGCTAAGTCACCCTCAGGTCACCTTGTCATTGAGGGCCAGGGGGAGGGATATTCAAAACAGACAGACACACGTGTGGTTCCTGCTCAGAACCGGATTCCCAGGTCCCACCTGGTAGTCTTACCAAAATGACAGAATGTTAAAAATACAGATTGAGCAATAAGTGCAGTAAATCGATGACACAATATACATGTATGTTAAACAACAGAAAGCCCACCATAAGTAACAAGGTTCTTCAGCTTTTCTACTGTCTTTCCTATCTATTATTACATTTGTGTCTTACGCAAACCAGGTTCCAAGTTGGGTGAGGGCAAACCCCAAACCTGTAACTAAAATGAAGGTAAAACTCTAATTCTTTAAAAATGAAGAAAATAAAAATCCGAAAGAAAGCCCACCTCACTTACTTTGAAAGATCAAAGGTGGTCCAGGTGTTCGAAGTGCAAGCCAACCAGCCTAGAGTGTCATCAACTATTTAATGACATAGGAAAACAGCAGCATGTGCCCATTTTCACTGCGAGACGGTGGCCCGCATGAACCCAAGTCTCTGCAGTTTGTGATTCTGCAGTTCAAGTGGCCACCTACTGCTCATTTGGGTTTAAAACCACTTTATTCCTTTCTTCGCTGAATGAATGGGGACTGGATTTCCATCTTTAAAACACTGAGTCACAAATACCTGGCACAGCTTACCACCACTCTGCTGCCTTGGACTCCTGTGGACACTGTTCCTTAGTCGTGATGTCCCTCACGCCTTTCCACAGATCCCACCAAGTCCCAAAGCCTTCCTGAGCACAGTGTAGCCAGCATAGTTTATTTGAAGTTGGTCCATGAGATGAAACCTATCATCCTTGCCTTTACCAGAAAACTCTCAACCTCAATAATCAAACGTGCTATGCCTATGTAATTTACAAGCAGTCTTATAAGTGTCAGGAGAGACATCACAAAATATTAGATACAGAACAGTGTAACCCAGAGGCACAGGATAATCAAAATGGAGGCCAGCATGGCACCTTTATCCTGGGACAAGTCCTATGGTTTAAAAAAAAAAAAAAAAAACAGAAAGCAGCTGGCTGACACTAGAAATACATGGTCAACCTGCTTCCCACATACAGAGGCTTGCTGTGTGCTCTTCCCAACCTGCCCCTAGATTCTGGCTGAAAGCTGCCTGTTTGCTCGTGACCCTAGGGGAGCTTGGGAATCTGGACCACATCCACGATACTATCCTCTGAAGGGTCTTTAAATGATAAAACCTTTCCTGGGATGGGAAGGGTACAAGCTATCCCAGAGTTGGTGGTTCTGCAAAACATGTTTGGTGGAGGTCTGGGACTACGTATGAGTCAAAAAAATAAAATTCATGGTTAAGAACTTCAGAAATTTTCAGCTTTGGTTGATGGGACATTAACAGCTAATGCAGGACTTCTCAGAGCCTTTAACAAGCTGACGTGTTGTGGAGCTACAAGAAGTTTACAGTCTGTTTTGCAGAACGTCATCCATTTGTAAACCTCTCGGGATTTCCAGATGGACATAACTGGCTAGATGTGCAGACTACTCAACCGACCAATAATAGAGGGCAATGACATTGAGTATTTAAGCTTCCTATCCCCAAGTCCTTCTCATCTCTCCTGGTTACTAGAAACAGACCAATCAAGATCACAGTAAACCCTGAAGGAAAGAAAGAAAAGGTGGCAAAGAACCTTGAAAAATTGGGAGTGACTGAACTGAGGCTATTCTTACTCTAGTATCACTCTCAGCGCTAAATCTTGACATTTTCTCATCTTTACCAAGGAGCAGGTGATTAATGCCCTTCTGGCCCAGGATTAAAGCCTGTCCCACTCTATCCTCCCATAGCATTTTGCTTACATTATGCGTTCGGCTTGGGCAGTTGTCTAAAAGCTCTCTTTGAAGGGCATCCATTATAGACATCTGTTGTAAAACCCTCTGCATCCTAAAGGAGAGGCGGCACACGTCAATAGCTTGTATCACAGAACTTAACACCTGGCAGGGGCTCGGCCATGATTTCATCTAACCCCGCCACTCGCCAAAGAAACAGACCAAGACCTGGTCAATGCATTTGCCCAGCAAAACACAACCACTTAGTAGCAGATGACAGACCAGGATCTATTGCTTGACTTGGGTAAGGCATGCCACCACCTTCTTGGGGACCAGTGTCTATTCACCTGTGTGGGAGCTTACAATGGCTTCTCAGCACCGCAGGCAGAGACGACAATGACAGATTCTACAGAGCTCACTGTTTCTTTCCTGAGAAATAGATGTCAATTTTGGGAGCTCAGCACAGTGATACAAGAAACATGCGGCTCAGAAAAGAAAAGGAAACCAGCACAAATCAGAGGAATGTTTATAAAGAGCTTCATTCCTCCCCCCTTTCCTTGCTGGATTCCCTAGGCCTTGGGGAACTTGGGAAGATGACCAGGCAGGGGCCAGGACTGTTCAGAAACAAGTCATGTGATGGGGAAATCCCAGCGTGTGCACCTCCCTGGCAGGAACTCCCAGGTCTCCCAAGTGTCCAGCATGCTCTGGGAGCCTCGCTAGCTCACACCCTCAGGGTTTCTGTGACCTCGTCTAGAAGATGCATACGCTTGACCTTGACAGTGATTTCCAAACGTGGCTGATGCTCAGTCACTCCAGGAACCAGTTAAAATACAGATTCCAGGCACCGCCACCCTCTACTCCTGGCAATTTAGGAACTGGCAATTCTGAGGGGGGGGGCAGGAATCTGTATTTTTAAAAAGCTCAGCCAGGTTTTAGGAGGCTCGAATGTCCCTCTGACGCCCCGAGTTTCACCACTCAGGTCTGTGTGTAACCTCTGGCCTGGCTGCTCTCCAGGGGGACAGTTAGGGTGTGGTGAGAAGGGCAGAGCTGTTGCTTGGGCCCTGGTGTGTCTATTCAGCAAGGTGATGTGCCAAGTTCTAGGTAATATTTAATCAGTTACTGTGAGATCACAGAAAGACCAAGAGTCCTAACAGTAAAAAAAAAGCAGTCAGGCAGCACATGGTACCTCCAGCCCCTAAGGAGCTGTCACTGGTTGGCGGAGGCAGGTGTGAGGGCCGCCAGGGGTCACTGGCCCCGGTCCTGGGGCCTCTTGCTCCTGCCCTTCTTCTTCTTGTCCTCTGGCCATGGATTCAGGGCGCAGACACAGGCGGATACGCCGGCGATGGCCTTGGGCAGGTCAGGGCCCTTGCTCCACTTGTTCTTCTCACAGTCGTACACCTGCACGGTCTTAGAGAAGGCAGTGTTCTCCCAGCTGTAGCCGCCCAGGATGTAGATGCGGCCCTGCCACACGGCCACGCCCGACTCGCTGTTGGCATGCAGCAGGGGCGCCACGCGGGTCCACTGGTTGCACTGAGGGCTGTAGGCCTCGACGCCCAGCACGTCGAAGCGCTCCATGGACTCGATATTGTCGTCACTGCCCCCGATGGAGTAGATGCTGTCGCCCAGGCTGCACATGCTATGCCAGCCGCGTGCCGTGGTCATGGGCCGCCGCTCCTCCCACACGTCCGTCCGGTGGTCGTAGCACAGCAGGTTCTTACGGTAGGGGCCGATCTGGTAGTCGTGGCCTCCTGAGATGTACACAAAGTCTTTGTAGATGGTGCCCGCGTGGCCGTACGTGAACCTGCGGGGAGATGTGTGGACACAGGGACAGAGACAGATGGGGCTTAGTGTTACACCGGCTTAACCTCCTTGAGCATGGGCCTCAGTCTTCTCCTCTGTGAAATGGGGAGACCTGTTCTCAGGCGGGGGGGCGGATTTGATGGGACAGTACACAGAGCAGGTGAATGCTAGGCCTGGTGCCACAGAAAACATAGGCGGCAGCTGTCATTGTACAAGGAGTGGCTGAATAGGGCAGGTAAGTGGCAGACTGCAGCAAGACCTCTAGGGCTCCTGTCCCAGCTCTGCCCCTCTGCCAAGACCCCTCCCCTCTCTCAGTCTCCCCTTCCCCATATAAACTCATTAAACCCGTTGCCATTGCATCTATTCCAACTCAGAGCAAGCCTACAGCACAGAGTCGAACTCCATGGGGTTTCCTAGGCTGTAGCCTTTTTTTTAAATTGTGGTTTGGGTGAAAATTTACACAGCAAATTCACTTTCCATACAGCAGTTTAGGCTGTAGTCTTTATGAAAGCAGGCCATGACATCACTCTCCCATGGAGTGGCTGCTGGGTTTGAACTGCCGACTTTCTGGTTAGCAGCTGTGTGCTTATCCCGTGCCACCAGGGCTCCCTCATGAACTCACTACCTGAACTGAAATCAGTACTCACTCTCTGACCCTCAGGCACTGAATAGACTCACTTATAGAGAGGTGCTTGTTCTAGCAGCAAGCTAACTTGCACTTGAAAAAAAAAAAGAGCTGCTGTCCAGTTGACTGTAACTCACGAGGACCCCATGTGTGTCATAGTAGAACTGTGCTCCACAGGACTTGTAGTAGCAGACTGCCAGACTTTTCTTCCTAGGAACCTCTGAGTTCACACAGCCAGGCTGTCAGTCAGAGGTCAAACACCGAACCATCTCTGCCACCCAGAAGCCTGCACACAGTCTGAAACCAGAGCTCAGACTCTTCTCCACGACACCCTCTGACTCTCACGTTCTACCTACTGTTGTTTACAAGCCAGGAGATCTAGACTTGGAGAACATAGTAGCCAGAAAGGGCAGTGCACTGAACTGTAACCCATCAAAATCCTTAAAAACTTCCAGTTACCTTGGCAAGCCAGCCACGTAGGACCAAGAGTCAGTCCTGGGACTGTACATCTCTACTGAAGAGAGAGCTCCATTTTCGTTCCGGCCGCCGACAGCCACCAGCATATCTTTGATGGAGGCAAGGTAGAAATCCACTCGGCGCTGGTTCATGGAGGCCACCTGCGGAGGCGACACATCTGTACCTTCCCTTCCTGGAACAGCATCAACATCTAGCACTGTGTTCCCCAAACACGTTCTATAGCACCTGTGGCCCAGGGACGTGACACAGTGGCCATGTGAGTCAAGAGGGTTCTTCACGTGGGACTTCTCAGAGCCCCTGAGAGGGGGATGGAGAACACACTTCCCAAAACTGGTCTGGACACGTGGTCTACCATGTAGACTAGAACTGGGCAGGACCCAAGACTCAGAACTGCTGAGTTAGTGGTTTCCTGAAATAAAAATTCATCATTCCCCTCTTGCCCCATCAGATCATTTTTAAACTACTGCTGATTGCCAGCCGAGTTAACAGAGCAGAAGAATCCACTCAATAAGACAGACAAAAGGAGAACACCAGCCTTCTCTTCCTGCTCCAAACACACTTACACAAACGCACATGGTCCTGCAGGGACCACGCTGAGGCTGCCGCTGCTGAAAAACTTCGCAGGGCACACTCCACAGCCGCAAGCACCTTTTGACCTGATCCTTCCTAATGGCCAAGAGTCACACTGTGGAAGGTGGTACAGATCTTTGAGGCTAAAAGCTAAGGATCACCTGGAGTCCATGCTGAGTTTCAGCTCAGGAAATCAGAGTAAAGTAAAACCACTGAGGTGCGAGTGCAAAGACTGAGATGTACTTTTGTGGGTGGTGGCCTAGTGGGGCATTTGTAGAGAAGAGGAACATGGGTTATGATCCCACTGACCCTAGAAGGTCAATGTTCCCACACCCATTTTCCAGAGAGAGAAGCTGGAATTGGGAGATGGCCAAAAAACAGTCTAAATCCCCTCAAACTATAGTTTGACTAAATAGGGATGGGAACTCGGGTCTGACTCCAAGGCCCATGCTCTTCACATAACGAGGCCATGCCCCCTGCTACACAGCCCAAGACTGTACCTTTGTGTGACCCTTTGGAGCCTCCTAAAACTAGCTCTAGGGCTTTTTAAAACATGAGCTCCGCGGAGACTCTGGGACACAGAGAACATGGTTGGAACTCTAAGTCAACTCTCTGGACCTTCATCAGCCAATATGGCAGCCACTAGCCTTGGGTGGCTGTATTAGTTTAAATATAAACTAATGAAATAATAAGGAAAATTTACCACCTTGGTCACACTAGCCATGTTTCAAGAGCTCAACAGCCACACGTGTCTGGTGGCCACCGTGCCAGAAGGCGCGGACGTAAGAACATTATCTTCAGCGCAGAAAGCTCTACTGGGTAGCGCTGACCCTTTGGGAGGTGGTCAGCACGCACGTTCCCAGACCAGGGCGTGGACTCATAATTGCATTGTCACACCTTGTTCGGAAGTGGGGCAGTGGGCAAGGCCAGAGAGAAGCGGGGCAAGTCATGGCCAGGTTAAGGAAATCAACAGAGTCCTCAAGAGTAAAGAAATAATCCAGCTTTAATCTCACCTTGATCCACTGTTTACAGCGGGGGTCATACCTATAAAGAAGATTGGACGCCGCATCCCCTCCGTTGTCCCGAGAGAAGCTGCCACCGGCGATGAAGATGAAGCCCCCCAGCACGGCCACGCAGTGGTGGCTGCGCCGGGCCGGCAGCGGCGTCTCCTTGACCCACTGCGCGCTCTGCGCGTCCAGGTAGCAGGTGTCGTCACTGAGCTCCAGACACCGCTCAGAGACCTCGCCGCCCACGAAGAGCAGGCGCTCCTCATTGGAGCGCAGGGCCGTGCGCTTGTTCTGCATGACGGGCTGGGCGGCCAGGCTGTTGTGGTAGCGCACCGCCTCCTCAATGAAGCCCTCGCAGTCGGCCTCCTTGGGCAGCAGCGAGCACACGGCCGGCTTGACTCGGTGCAGCAAGTCGTTCTTAGGGATGAGCGGGAAGTGGATGTTCTCCAGCACCTGGTAGGCGTGGGCCTCGCGCTCGGGCTGCTGCGTGAGCCACTGTAGGGCAGCCTGCAGCAGGTCATGCTCACACTCTCGCTGCACCTGGCTGCTGCTCAGGTAGACACACAGCTTCTGCAGGGATACGTTCTGTAGGAAGTCGGGCGTGAAGGACAGCGTGCCAAAGTGGCTCAGGATGAAGCCGTCAATGAAGGCGTCCAGCCGCTTGAGGCTGTAGATGGAGGCCAGCCCCTGCAGGTACAGGTAGTTGTCCTCACTCACCTCCTGCTGCAGGTACTCGCAGCAGAAGTCTACCACCGTCCAGATCTGCAGCAGGTGGGCCGTCTCCAGCACATAGTCGATGTTGCCGCCATCTAGCGCCAGCTCGCCGCCATACAGGAAGTCCACCACGGCCTTGAGCCCGATGTAGGAGGCGCCCACCAGCTCCACCTCCTTCTGGAAGGCCTCCCGCATGCCGATGGTGAACATGGAATTGAAGTAGTCACTGCACACGGCCAGGAGGTTGCGGTGGGCGGGCACACGCTGCTCATCTGCCACCAGGACGACGTCGCAGAAGAGGCCGCGAAGACGCTGCTCGTTCAGCCGCTGCAGCACCGTGGTCGAGTGCTCAGCCCAGTGATACACCTGTGGCAGACAGCAGATGTCAGGCCCCGGCTCCACCGGCCCACCCACACCCTGCAGGGTCCCAAGAGCCACATGGGGGTCATGCCCAGCATTTTAAAGAGAGTGGGTGAAAGCAAGCAGGGTGTCAGATACCAGAGTGCACTGCAGAAGATCAGGGAAGTCTCCGTGTGTCTATCCATACCTTCTTTGCTTCCTTTCTCATCTCTTCTCTCTCTCTTTCCCTTCTTGCCCTCCCTCCTTCCCTCTCTTTCTTTCTTACTGTGGGTCATGAGCAAATAGGTTTGAAAAATGCTGACCCATCAGGACACTGAAGTTGCTCAGGGTGACTTCTAAAATCGAATACAATCTGCTTCGGAATCCCCACTCTGCCGCTTACTCTGTGGACTTAGGTAAGTCGTGGCTCTGGGTGGGTTCGAACCTCCAACTTTCAGTAAGCAACTGAGCCCGTGAAGTGTCTGCACCACCCAGGAGCTCCACAGAGAGCCGTGCTGGCCTAGTCTTAGCTGCTAATGAAACAGGAATGATTCCAGCCTCCAACAGACACTGGCTTGTCAACAGGCCCTGCTCGTGTGGATTAAAGGAAGGCAATAAAAGAATACTAGAATAGCAGGCTATGGATTAATAGTAAAGGCAAGGCTGAGGACAGAGAGGAGCAAGTTAGGGGCCGCCGGGTGTGTGTCTGCCCACCCCAGGACCTGACGGCCTCCTGTCCTCCGGCAGTCTCCTGCAACTGCTACACTTAGATGAAGGTACACACCGCAGGCTGCGGCGTTAAAAGGGAAACAGCCCCAGGGCTGAGGACCGCGGGAAGTGCTGGATAACAGCTGCCGGGGAGACCATCTGCTCCAGCGAGCAGGATGGGAAAGAGGACAGCCACTGTTTCCCAAACCCTATCTCCGTACAAGCGAGGCACGTCTGAGTCTTCACCTGCCCTTCGACTACAACCCACCTTGGATATTTTACTGTAGCTGCAGAGAGGACAATTGCAAACACACAAGCAAACGTGATTTCCCCGTGTTAAAAACCTAAAAAAAAAAAAAAACCACCTCACTTCCATGGAGTTGGATCCAACTCATAGTGACCCTTCCTTGGGTTTCCGAGCTGGTATCTTTATAGAAGTAGATTGCCCCGTCTTCCTTCTGAGGAGTGGCTGGTGGGCTTGAACCATTAAAGGGACGTCAATAATGGAGTTTGAGCAGTTCATGTAATTTAGAAGCTGTAGGTCCTGTTGGCACACTGACTAAGGCATTTGACTGCTAACCGGAAGGTCGGCAGTTCAACCCCACCAGCCCTCTGTGGAAGGAAGATGGGGCATTCTACTTCCGTAAAGATTTACTGCTTTGGAAACCTAATAGGAATTGCTGTAAGTCAGAATCAACTCAATGGCACTGGGTGTTTCCATAAAGATGACAGCCTTGCAAACCCTGTGGGGCAATTCCACTGTGTCCTCTAGGGGCGCTGTGAGTCGGAATCCACTCCACCGCAGTGGGTTTAGTTTGGGCTCTGGTTCTATAAAGATGACAGCCTTGCAAACCTAATGGAGTGGTTCTACTCTGTCCTCTGGGGTCATTATGAGTCAGAATGGACTGATGGCAGTGGGTTTGGTCTGAATATTCTGGAACCCTGCCATTCTCTGACGGCTTTAAACCCTATACATTCCTTTGCTTCCTGGTTGACTGCCTTAGTGAAACGCAGGCAGAGTGGGTGGAGACAGGTCCTCAGGGACTAACATGGGAGAGAACGCAGCGGGTTGATCTCAGGTGCTTGTGTTACACGTTTAAAAAGAACTGAGATGAAGGGATGGACACTGGGAGGAGGTAACTATGGGGAGGAAGTGGGAGGGGAGCTGCTGCATTGTAAATTTTGGTCAATGACATGAGACAAAGTATATGTGAACTGCTGTATGAAAAGTGAATTTGCTCTGTAAATCTTCACCCAAATCCTAATTAAAAAAAAAAAAAAGAACTGAGGGCTGAGATAGATAAGCACATTCTGGAGATGAACAGGCAGGGCAGTCACACAACAGAGCCTCCACAGGGCTGAACCTCAGCACCCCCCAAACACACACACACCAGTGTGGCTGAGCCTCCCAAGCACAGTGTTGAGTGAAAGAAGCCAGACACACAAGAGCGCCCTCCCAGTGAGACGCTGAAAGCAGGCAGCGCTAACCCATGGTGTGGGAAGCTGAGAGAGCGGTTATCTTGAGTGTAGGGACGGGAAGGGGATGACAAGGGGCCCTGCAGGCTGGTGATACTCTGTTTTTTTATTTGGCGGCTGGCTACATGAGTGAGTTTAATGTTGGAAAACCTGAGAGTTCACCAAGGTTTTGGGTGTTTGTTTGTTGTAGAAAAGCTAAGAAGTATAAATACAATCAGCCAAGGGAGAGAGAACCACATAACTCAGCATCTGTCTGCGGGACGATTGTAGTGCCAGACAGATTGTAGGCCCAGCAAACTTAGAAAGCTTCACCGTCCTCCCAGCTGAGCTCTGGCTCAGACCCTCTGAGACAGCGGCTAGCCTTCGCTGGGGTCTCACAGGAGTATGTGGTATGGCGACAGCCTCCTGGGCAAGCTCAGGCGGGAGAGGAGAGTTTCTCTGGGGATGCGACCTCGCTCGAAAAAGACCCCCATATTTTAAGGCACCTTCAAGAACCTTTCTCTCTTAACAAATCTACAGGATGGTTGCTCACTCCCTTTATCTGAAGCAATGATTTTCAATCATTTTTTATCTATCATCATTCTCCTAAAGAGCTTTCACAGGAGCGCTGGTGGTGCAGTGGTGAAGCACTTGGCTGCCAACCAAGAGGTCGGTGGTTTGAGCGCTCCAGCCACCCCCCAGGAGAAAGATGAGGCAGTCTGCTCCCGTGAAGATTTACGGCCTTGGAAACCCTCTGGAGCAGTCCTACTCTTTCTGTAGGGTTACTGTGCATCAGGACCAGCTCTGGCAGTGGGTTGGAGAGAGTGTTCATGGGTATTTTTCCCTATATCCCCACCATAGATACACTGGGTATCTGCTTATGTACTGTGTGTCCCCACTGCATCAAGTGCACTCTAACTCACAGAGATCCTGTAGGACAGAGCACTGCCCCTGGGGCTTTCAAGGCTGTAATCTTTACGCAAGCAGCCTGCACATGTTTTTCCTACAGAGTGACTTTGAATTGCAGACCTTTCAGTTAGCGCCAGAATGCATTAACCACTATGCCACCAGAGCTCCTTGCTGCACATATAGCTGTGTTTTACAGTAACATTTTTCTGCATCTCCCAAGACTAATTTCCACTCTGTGGGGACAGTATCACTCCCACTGAGAATGCATGATCTAAGGTAACCATTGAGTCCCTGGGGATGCAGACAGTTAATGCACCTGGCTCCTCACCAAAAGACTGGAGGTTTGAGTCCATCTCGGCACCTCAGAGACAGGCCTAGCGAGCTACTCTGACACACATGGGGTCACTGTAAGCCAGAAACAATTCAAGGACACTTGCTTTAATTGGTTTCAGGCAATCACATAATTTAATCTCTAAAAAAGGAGGCTTTTAAAGAACACAAGCACCATTAATCTCAGCAGGAAGACAGGGGTAAATGGGACAGTCCCTCACGTTGGTCCCCAACCTTTATCCATGGCAGCTATGGGGCAGGGTTGTTTCAAACCACCTGGGGAGCTTGCTGAGGCACAGATTCCTAGGCCCACTCTCACGTTTTAATTTCACAGGTGTAGGGTGAGGCCTGATGTGTATTTCAAATTAGACGCTCTCTACCCCAGAATGATTATAAGGTAGACAGTATGACACTGATTGGTAGCCTGACATTGGGGAAGCCATCCGCACTGGTCTTAGGATCCCAGCGGGTCAAGACCAGGGAAAGGCACTCTGGGCCCTTAACATCCAGGCACACAAAGCGTTCTCTCCACTCCAGGGTGGGAGGCTGGACGCTGAGGCTCTCAAAGGACATGCCCTTGGAGTCTTTGAATTCAAAGGTGGGGATGGACAATGCCATGGCTCTTTCTGTGTCCCATCCACCTCCTGGGGTTGGTGCAAGAGGCAAAGGAACAAAGTGGCCAGAACACCACTCTCTGAAGAACAAAGAATGTCTGGGAAAAATGTCCCTAGAGTCCCTAGCACTTGCAGCTGCCTCACGATGGCTTTTTCCACTTCTTGGCAGTCTCTACCTCTACCTATCATTAAGGAGATTACCATCACCATCAGCCACAATGTCCATCTGCAAGTTAAGAATGGGTTAATCACATACTACACAAAAACACTGTTCCACCTCCTACTTTGATGAGTAGCGACTGGGATCCTAAAAGCCTGTGAGCAGCCATCTAGATGCAATGATGGGTCTCTCCTCATCCAGAGCAAAGAAGAACAAAGAATACCAAAGATTCATGGAAACAATTAGTCCTAGCGGCTGGTACACCATGCGATCCTCAGCCTATACGACTATGAGATCAGAAGAACTAGATGGTGCCCAGCTACCACTGTCAACCACTCAAGAGGGGGAATCTACGTAGGAGATCCTGGATAAAGTGGGAGAACAATGTGGAAGAAAACTCAAAATCATTTGGAAAAAAAAAAAAAAAAGGACCAGGTTTACTTGTCTGATAGAGCCTGGTGAAACCCCTGAGACTGTGGCCCCTAGCTGCCCTTCAGGTCTGGAATTGAACCCACTCTTACAGCTTCCAGCCAAACAAAAGACAGGCACATGAGCTGAACATTTACACTACGTAGATACACTCCTTGGAGAGATCAATCATGGGAGAATAGAAGGGCTGTGTATACACAGGGAGACAGCTCGAGGGGCAGGAGTACATGGGAGGGAAGGACACAGGGAAGAGGTAACTATGGGGAAGAAGTGGGAAGAGAGCTGTTGCACTGTGGGAAACTGCAGTCAATGTCACGAAATAAAGTGTGCACTGCTATACGGAAAATGAATTTGTTCTGTAAACTTTCACCAAAATCACAATAAAACTTTTTTTTTCTTTTTTAAAGAATGAGTTAATCAGAAAAATCATTGCCCTCCCGAGGCAGCTTCCATGGGAGTAAGCTATCAGTCACAGACCTTTGAGGACTCGCTGATCTTGTATGGCCGAGACACACGCGTCTGCCTGTTTCCCTCCATCGTAAACGAGCTCGTGGCCCTACAACGAGAACAGGGTTTCTGAATGCGTAGTGGTAACTCCAGGTCTTTCACTAACAGCAGCAATCAAAAGCGAAAACAGTGACACAGAGCAAGGAGGGAAAGAAGCAGTGGGCCCTCAAGAAGCCGTGTGCACTCTGGGTTGGAAAAACCAGGCAGTTGGAATCTGAACAGTCAGCGAGTGATCCTTCATCATCTAAAGCCTGAACACCACCAGTCTTTTTGCCCATGTCCTACAAACACCTCCTGGTTGATGTTTGATTTCACAGGGCTTTTAAGTAGATCAAGGTCATAAGGATACGAGTCATCACTGTGGAGCCCAGTCTGTGACCTTGGACCCAAGCAAAGGGACTTACATGCATCATCTCATTTAACCCCTACACCTCCTTGGCCAGGCTGATGTCACTCATCCCATGTTCTAGAGGAGGGTATTGATCTCAAGGTCACATAGCTAGTAAATGGCTAAGAATCAAACCAGTCTGTCTAATTCCAAATGCAGGCCCTCACCATGACGGTCTGCTAAAGGTGGCACGATTTTGGAGAGCACCACGATGATGCGCTGCAGTGATGACTAACACATATCAAGTGTATTCTAGACAGGCAGGAGCTCTGGTGGCATATTTAAAGCATTTGGCTGCCAACCAAAAGGTCAGTGGTTTGAACCCACCAGCCTCTCCACAGGAGAAAGATGAGATAGTCTACTTCCATAAAGCTTTACAACCTTGGAAACTCTATGGGGAAGTCCTACTCTGTCCTATAGGGTCATGATGGGCCCAGCCTGCCCGCTCGACGGCAGTGGGTTTAGTTTGGGTTGCCACTGGCACTGTCCTAAGTGCTTTTATATGCTTCACCCATTTAATCCTCACAGCAACCCCACCAAGCAAGTATTGTTACCCTCATCTTACAGAGCAGGAGACAATGGTAATGACTGACATGACCTACCCAGTGTCACACAGCTAGGAAGTGGCAGAACCAAGGTCCCAGGCCTGGGAAGCTTCCATACTCTTAACTCCTAGACTATACTATGAGGCCAGCCTGGCCACAGAAAGCCTGGGATTGGCAGACCTAGGCTGGGGCCTACGCCCCACTTCGAACATCCAGTATCAACTCGGGCAAGTCTGCCGGTTTCTCTGCACCTCATGATCAAGTCTCTAGAACACGCTGGTGCACCAGACTCTTTAAGGTTTCTTCCAGCTGTGAAAGGCAAGCAGCTCCCTAATACACAGAGCCCAGCTCTGGGGCCCTAGGGAATTGAGGAGGGCACAAAAGGGAAGGACCAAGTCAACATGGGTGTGAGTCACAGACTGGGACCTCAGGTTTAAGGAGGATTTTTATTTCTGCTTAGTTCGCGTGAAGTTTTTGATTTGCTACCAATGGGACAAGTTGCCTTTGCAACAACAATGAGACAGGAAGTCAGCACTGTCCCAAGGTAAGTGGGGACACAGGCAGTTCCAGAGTCTCCAAGGGAGGTTATGAGTGTAGCACACTCCAGCCTATCTGAGTCCTCAGGGGAAGGAAGGACAGCCAGATTTCTTAAGAAAAACTAACAACTTTGTGACAATGATGGTGTACCCACCCTGGCCTTCTGGGCTGTGCCCAGGCTGCTGGGGTCGAGAGCTGGCAGGGCCCCAGCTTTCCTGCAGTGTCTGCTGCACACCCCTTGCTTTCTCATTCCAGCTTTGCCCGGACACTGAGATCTGTCACAGCAAGGGCACCTAGGCTCAGGTCGGAGGGGCTGCCTGAGACCCCCACTCCTACCAGGGCCGCTGTCCAGCTTGGCTCTACCCTCAGAGGCTTGTTCTCGAGGCCAGGATTTCCAGAGAGTTCCCCAGTTGTTGGCTGCTCCAGTCTTTGTCTCCCGGCTCATGGCTAGACCTGAGTGTGGGCGGTCAGGTACTGCCACCCTTTTTGGATGCAGGTGAGGAGGTCAAGGCCATCCACAAGTACAGTGCGGATTCCCAGTTCCGTTTAAAAGATCTTTCAGTAAACATGGGGACGGGGACACCGTGCAGGTCGGAGGGTCCCAGGAGAGCCGCCTCCCTGGTTTCCCACCCTGAACCTCCCGATCTCAGCACTTGGGAAGGACAACGCTGGTGGCCCGGGCATGACGCCCGTCGGCACTCACCCGTCCAAGTCTGGCCGGCAGGTCTCCCGGGACGCCGCTGTAGCTCACTGGGAACGGCACCCTGGCGGAACTGCAAGCACAACGGCCGCCGGGCAGGCTCGAGCCAGCTGCGAGGGGCGGAGGGAGCGGAGTTGGGGCGCGCCGGGCCGCGGGGGCTCACCTGCTGACTGCGCCGGGGCCGCCGCGTACGGCGCACCTGGCTCACCTGCGGGGGCGGCGGCGCCCCTCAGCCCCTGCGGCAGCC